AATTGAAAGCAAGTATTAATGTTCAGTTTATCGAGGCCATCAACTGGCCTGGGTCATCAGGCAGGCTGAAGGTTTTATTAAACTTACTTATTTATTCACATGCTCAAAAGAATACAAATTTTGCCAATTTAGGAATTGATCAAAATAATTAATAATTGGAGATATTCAATACAAATTTTGTAATGCTTCGTTGCGCGATTTTTCGATCGAAAATAAGCAATCTAACCCTCAAATATTAACGTTGTCAAGATAAATTTCATTTATGTGGCGCATAATCAAACATCACTTTGAAAATCGAGACTAATCTGTGCTAGCCTGATTTTTTCTGTTTCTTAAGTTTCTCACAGCCATTAAATACATCAGGATTTTCCTCTGGTGGTCTGTTCGTTGGATATTCGAACCAATTTTCTCCGTAGCGGGATACTAAATCATCTCTCCAGTTATTCTGCACATTGAAAGGGAACCCTTCGAACGTCATTTTCCTCAGAGGATAAATCGCTTTGTCCACGTCTGGTGTTACAAAAATATCGATCATCAGTCCATCGTGCCATTTACAATTGTAAGTCATACAGTATTTATAACAACTGTTTCTGTCTCTGAGTCGTGGGTTATATGTTGCTTGATATATAAAAACTACTTCATGCCTGTGATAATGGCTTACATCAGACGGTCTTAACGCACGGTCGCTGACGGAGTTCTGAAAAAATATATCGGCCGGTAACTCCTTGGCCGCAACTTGAAAAAATTTGACGTAATCATCTAAGGGCATTTCAATATCGCCATCCCCGTCCCAGGGAATAAATCCATGGTGTCTAGCAGCTCCGAGTAGAGTCCCGCGGCTAATCCAGTACTTGATTCCATACTTTTGTGCGAGGATATCGAAGATGCGGAGCATTCGTGTCAAAACAAGTTGAGCTTGACGCGGACGAATTTTTGAAAAGTTACGAATGTCCGGGCATTGAAAAGTGTCGTCTACCAAATCACATTTTCCTCCAAGTTCAGTGTACAACTTTGGGCACATTTCACCCCATTTAAATATGATACTGCAGTGTTCATATGAAAGGTTTGGATTCACATAGTCCGCTCGTATCCGACTTGTTCTGGCGAGAGTAAGGTTATTTTTATACCACGAGTCGAAAGACCCACGCAAGAGCGACCCCGAGTTGTCTAATTGTAGGACAATACTCAGCAGACATATTATCCCGGTAATCAAAAGAGTAAAAAGCAAAAACACTGCACCTTTGCTCATCCTCGTCTCATCATACTGAAAACTGATCCTTCTCCTCGGAGTGTTTCCCAAGCTCTCCCGACGCTAATCGAAGGAGTTACGTAGCATTTACGTGACAGTATGCAAATGTTCGACTGCACTTTCTAAAAAGGAAAAAGAATTAATTATGTTAAAAAGGCTGATGAATAAAAAGTTAAAACGTGGCGAGATTTGAAGTTTCTTCAGAAATAAATTTGAGTAAAACAGTAATAATGAAAAAAAGCGATTTAAAAATTGTCCAAGTGACGTATTCTTTACTAGGGACCTTAAGCATCGATGACTTTGGGTGTCACGGACGTTCGATCCTTTGCAGGACGGGGAATCTGGGAACGACGTTGTCGCCAACAGAGTTCGTGACATGACTGCGTTAAGCAAAACAATTACGC